CCCCCCCCCCCCCAACCCACCCACCCCCACCCCCACCCCCCCAAAAAAAAAGAAAAGAAAAGAAAAACAAAAAAAACCTATCATCTCAAGATAAAAACTTATCGAAATCACACTTTTGAAGATCAACTCATTCAGTTATGAATAAAATCCCTATCCGATAAAAAAAAGATAATGCTTAATTCCCAAAGCTTGTATACCCTCTATCTCCTGTTTTTCTCTTATCTTAGGAAATCGGAGTGCTTTTTTGCATAATTGAGACGAAAAAGCGAACAGCCCTTAAGACTCTTTTAGTATACAGTGTGATACTGTGACGCCCCTGGGTTCACACAAGGCTGCAGTCCGAGGTGAAACCAGAAATGTCAAACCTGCCATGCACCACACCGTGCAATAACATGTTTCACCATCACAATTACTATCTCTCTAGTGGAATCAACAACAGGTATAGGTACAAAAGCAGGTAAAAGATAATACAAGAAATAACTGATGAAATGATAGTGATCACATTAACGTCTCATCATCCAACATACAGAAATACATAGTCAATGTCTGAATAGATAAACTGGAATACTCAACAAGTCTCAAAATACATATATCTGACAAGAGGAAATAAGGCACACAGCCTTTACAACTTCTAGAATAAGGCTCTCAAATGTCTAAACAAAAGTCTATAGTGGAGCTCCAACATAAGCATAACTAATAGCTAAACACTAAAGTGTGTCACCATCAACCTGCGACTCTCCGGGCTCCTGGCTCTGTAGGCGTCAAAAAATGCTGAAAGATATCCAAATACAGCTCAAGAGGAAATCATCCAAAAAGGCAAAAAAAAAAAAAAACACAAGTCTTTACTGTCTCGCACGCGAGACAGACTTGACTGTCTCGCCGTGCGAGACAGTCTTTACTGTCTCGCAGGCGAGACAGACTTTTACTGTCTCGCCCGTGCGAGACAGTCTTTACTGTCTCGCCGTGCGAGACAGGGACCGGGTGTGACCGTTGTCCAACACATGGACCGGATGGTAATACATATCCAGCACGAGGATTTAAATAGCATTGCATGTCCAACACGAGGACTAAGTGGGAAGGGTGTCCAATACGAGGACTATAAAGTAATGCTTGTCCAACACGAGGACTGTGTAACTGTGAAAAGGAGTTCGACCTTTGCGTTGATGAACTTTAAACGCCAGATCTGAACTGTGCGTTCGAAACTTTAACGCAGAGTTCGACCTTTGCGTTGATGAACTTTAAACGCCAGATCTGAACTGTGCGTTCGAAACTTTAACGCAGAGTTCGACCTTTGCGTTGATGAACTTTAAACGCCAGATCTGAACTGTGCGTTCGAAACTTTAACGCAGAGTTCGACCTTTGCGTTGATGAACTTTAAACGCCAGATCTGAACTGTGCGTTCGAAACTTTAACGCAGAGTTCGACCTTTGCGTTAATGAACTTTAAACGCCAGATCTGAACTGTGCGTTCGAAACTTTAACGCAGAGTTCGACCTTTGCGTTGATGAACTTTAAACGCCAGATCTGAACTGTGCGTTCGAAACTTTAACGCAGAGTTCGACCTTTGCGTTGATGAACTTTAAACGCCAGATCTGAACTGTGCGTTCGAAACTTTAACGCAGAGTTCGACCTTTGCGTTAATGAACTTTAAACGCCAGATCTGAACTGTGCGTTCGAAACTTTAACGCAGAGTTCGACCTTTGCGTTGATGAACTTTAAACGCCAGAT